GTTTCGAGACAACTTGGTCAAGAACACCCCAACTACTTTTGACGAAGTCAACCAGAGATCCCTTAAATTCATTAAGGCTGAGGAGTACGTCCTCTCCAAACCTCAGCCCCCCAAAGAAGCTAGAGCCCCCATCTGGAGAGACGAAAGCCAGAGCAGAAAGAAGTTCAAACCTACACAAAACCGAGGCCCAATTCCGGTTCCTAAGCTAGACAGGCCCAGTTCCAGCACCCCGCAGACGCGGCCTATGCCGCCCTCATGGACCTCCTTCACAATTCCGAGGTCGCAAATTCTCATGCAGATTAAGAATAAGATGGAGATGAGGAGACCACACCCCATACAAAGCCCAGCGGCAAGCAGAGACCACACCAGATACTGTGACTTTCATCAAGACCACGGACAGACCACGGAAGAGTGCAAAAGTTTGAAGTCCGAGTTGGAAAGTTTGGCCCGAAAGGGGATGTTGAATGAGTACATCCAGAACAGAAATTTGCCAAAGTTTGTCAAAGAACAAGGACAAGCCCAGGGGTCTCGAGCACCAAACAACAGGGATGGGGTAGGGTACCAGCAAGCACCACCACCTCTGCCACACCCATCTAGAGTCATTCACATGATAACCGGCGGGCCCGAAGCAGGAGGCACAAGCTCCAAACAGCAAAAGCTGTACGTGAGGGAGGTCAAACACCACAATACAGCTCAGAAAAGGAAAATCGATGAGGAGGATTGGAAAAATCAATCTGTGACATTCACTTCGGCTGACTTCGAGGGGGTTGTCATGCCCCATAACGACCCATTAGTCACCTCGGTCATCATCAACAATTGCGAGATCCAGCGAGCGCTCATCGACACCGGTAGTGCTCCAGACATAATGTATTACCATTGCTTTGAAAGCCTCGGACTCGACCCAGCCCTCCTACAAAAGTACGACGGGCCCATTTACGGGTTCAACAATCAACCGGTACCTGTGGAAGGAGTGCTGCGACTCAATGTGGCGTTCGGCTCTAGACGGACGTACGTAACACCCACAGTCAGATTTCTAGTAGTGAAGATGCCTTCGTCTTTCAATCTCGTCATCGGGAGGCCGACTTTGACCGAGATCCGGGCTATAGTGTCCAGGCCCCACCTCTGCATGAAATTCCCTACCCCAATGGGGATAGCAACCCTAAGAGGCAACCAAGAGGCGGCCAAGCACTGCTACATGACCTCCGTCGCGAGGTCACGAAGAAATAAGGAGGTACTCCCACCACCAGAGGCACCCAAACCAGAGGCCCCGAATACCCAACAGGTAATGGGTGTAGAGCTGCCAGATAACAGACCAGAGGATGACCCAAGAGCCACCCCGGTCGAAGAGGTCGAAGAGGTGCAACTTGATGATAATGACCCATCCAAGAAGACTCAGATAGGCACGAAGCTGACTCCTACAGAAAAAGAAGAACTTGTGAGTTTCTTAAAAGTAAACAAGGATGTGTTTGCATGGACTTCGGCTGATATGCCTGGAATCCCAACTTCGGTGGCAGTGCACAAACTCAGCACTAATCCTTTGAGGAAGCCAGTAGCACAGAAGAGACGGCTTTTCGGGGGAGAAAGACTCACGGCCATTAAAGAAGAAGTGAAGAATCTCTTACAAGCAGGGTTTATCAGGAGAGTAGATTACTGCGAATGGATTGCCAACCCTGTCATGGTAAAAAAGTCAAACGGGAAGTGGCGCATGTGCATTGATTATACCAACCTCAACGACGCCTGCCCTAAAGACTGTCATCCCATGCCGAGTATAGACAAGCTGGTAGAGGCCGCCTCAGGGAATGAGAGGTTAAGCCTCTTGGATGCTTACTCGGGGTATCATCAAGTCCGCATGGCACCCGACGACGAGGTGAAAACCTCATTTTATGCCGGAGATGAAATATACTGCTATGTGATGATGCCGTTTGGGCTCAAGAATGCAGGGGCAACATACCAGAAAATGGTCACAATCGTGTTCCGGGCTCAAATTGGCAGGAACCTGGAGGTCTATGTAGATGACATTGTTGTCAAACGTTCTCAAGCAGAAGACCACTTGACCGACCTAGCCGAGACGTTCAACAACCTTAGAAGGTGCAACATGAAGTTGAATCCAGCAAAGTGCACCTTCGGCGTTGAATCAGGCAAGTTTCTGGGTTTCATGGTTTCCAGAAGGGGGATAGAGGTCAACCCTGAGAAGATAAAGGCAATTGAGGAAATGAAACCGCCGAGGTCAACCAAGGACGTGCAACGCTTGGCAGGGAGAGTAGCAGCACTGCACAGATTTATCTCCAAATCAGCGGATAAGTGTTTGCCTTTCTTTAAGGTCTTGAGAACTGCAGCTCAGAAGAATGAAACGGGAAAACCCCAGAAGTTCAACTGGACGACGGAGTGCCAGGTGGCTTTTGACGAGCTTAAAGCCTACCTCGGTTCGCCTCCTCTGCTGACTAAGGCTCAGGAAGGTGAAATCCTTTATCTCTACCTCGGAATATCTGATACTGCTGTCAGTTCTGTCTTGGTCAAGGAAACGGGGAAACAACAGCAACCAGTATACTATGCCAGTAAAGTGCTGCAGGGGGCTGAGCAGAGGTACTCGATAGCAGAGAAGGCAGCCCTAACAGTTGTTGTTACTGCAAGGAAGTTGAGACCATATTTCCAATCCCATCCTATTATTGTGATGACTGATCAGCCTTTAAGACAAATTTTGCAGAAACCAGAATGCTCCGGGAGGCTCATCAAATGGGCAGTAGAGCTGGGAGAGTTTCAGATAGCATTCCAGCAGAGGTCGACAATCCGAGCTCAAGCCTTGGTAGATTTCGTGGTCGAATGCACTTCTAATCAGGTGGAGTCGAATTCTGAGGCAGAAACATGGACCCTGTATGTCGATGGATCATCTAATAACAAGGGTTCAGGAGCTGGAGCAGTGTTAACTGGGCCTGACGGCTTCCGGAGTGAACACGCTTTGAAGTTCAACTTCCAGGCCACAAACAACGTGGCCGAGTATGAAGCCCTCCTCCTGGGACTACGTCTGGCGGCCGAGCTCAAAGTCAAACGCCTGCAGATTTACAGTGACTCACAGCTGGTAGTTAACCAAATCAATTCTATGTGCGAAGTCATCGATCCCATCCTGGCGAGATATGTGGTCGCAGTCTCCGAGCTGAAAAACCGTTTTGAAAAATTCCAACTTACCAAAATTCCAAGAGCAGAAAATGAGCATGCAGATTCCTTGTCAAAATTGGCATCTGAGAACTTTGGGGAAGCAAAGTCTGTGTACATTGAGATACTGAATGAACCAAGCTTTCACACGTCGGGGATAATGGAGATTAGCACTGACCTAGGTGCTCCGAGTTGGACAGACCCCATCCGGGAGTACCTCCTCAATGGCACCGTCCCGGGGGACAAACAGGAAGAGATGAAGTTACGAAGAAAAGCCTCTCGGTATACCCTGGTTGGCGACATCCTGTACAAGAGGTCCTACTCGTTACCACTCCTCAGATGCCTGACACCATATGAAGCAGAGTATGCACTAAGAGAAGTACACGAGGGGGTATGCGGTAATCACGTGGGAGCCCGGACTCTGGCACATAAGGTACTCCGGCAAGGGTACTATTGGCCTAACATGCAAGAAGACGCAAAGAAGTTCGTGCAGAGGTGTCAGAAATGCCAATTCTTTGCCCATCTCACCCATCAGCCAGCTGAAGAACTCACCAGCCTGACTGCACCATGGCCCTTTGCTCAATGGGGAATAGACCTTCTGGGCCCCTTCGTCAAAGCGGTAGGGGGAGCAACGCATTTGGCGGTCGCTGTTGATTACTTTACCAAATGGGTAGAAGCCAGACCTCTCTCTTGTCTAACTTCGAGAAGAATCGAGGATTTCCTCTTCACCTCGGTCATCTGCAGATATGGGATACCAAACCAAATCATCGCCGATAACGGCCCCCAGTTCAATTGTAACTCCTTCAGGGACTTCTGCTCAAGCTACGGGATTAAGTTGGTGTTCACCTCCGTCT